ACCATCTTCTCAACCACAGAGTGACCTCTGACATGATGGGTTTAGATTCAGATTAAGCAAATTACCTCTAAGCTTTAGGTTCCTTCTCTGTGAAAATTGGCAATGATAGCAATTGCCTTAGGTCAATGGGGTTAAATGAGAGCACGATAAAGTAGGTACCTTATCATTAGATAGTCCCCCCTCCCTCACTGTCTATTTTTAATCATTGGTTAAATTAAAAATCTTTACAGGCCTAGAGGATCAGGACCATAGTCTTGGGGGACATCATGCTCAACTGACACACATAGTTCATAAAAAGCTAAGCTCTACAACCTACTCTGGTGAGTAGGAGCTCTGGTAGCATAGTCCCTAAGGCATATGACTGCTAACCAGAAGGCTGGTGGTTCAAACCCAGGAGCCACTCCTCAGAAGGAAAGTTGGGCAATCTACTTCTGTAGCGATACTGCCTTAGAAACCCAAGGAAGGGTAACTATGAGTCAGGTCCAACTCCACGGCATATAACCACAACATCAACAACAACTCTGGTGAGTAGTGACTAAGGTCTTAAAAGCTTTCAAGTGGACATCTAAGATGCAACTATTGGTCTCCTCTCAGCTGGAGCAAAGAAGAGCAAAGAAAAGCAAAGGCATCTAGAAACAATCAGTCCAAAGATAAGATGGACGATAAGGACCTCAGCCTCCATCACCCAAGGCCAGAAGAACTAGACAGTGCCCAGCTACCAATGCCAACCACTCAGAAAAGGATCAAACCTCGAGATCCTGGATAGAGTGGGAGGAAAAATGTAGAACAAAATTCAAAAATACAAAAATGACCAGAATTACTGGTTGGAAAGGGACTGGTAGAACCCCTGAGACTATGGCCCCAGGTTACCCTTTGAGCCTAGGAATAGACTCATTTACATGTATTGGCTCTCACCCCAACAGTAGGAAGACATACATACAGAACACCTAACCCAGGTCAATGCACCCACCTACTCTAGGGAGATGAGCCCCTTGGATCAAGCTGCCATGAAACACCAGAGGGGTAGCACTCACATAGAGGGAAAGCTGGACAGACAGGAATGCATGGATGAGAGGAGCACAGGGAAGGGGTGATCACAGGGAGGAGAAGGGAAGAGAGTTTTTTACGGTTGGGGACAGTAATCAGGGCCATGAAACCAGATGTGCATGAACTGTTGAATGTAAAACAAGTTTCTTATGTAAATTTGCACCCAAAGCACAATAAAAAAAAAAAATCTTTATGGAGGCGGACTGTCACACCTTTCTCCCATAGAGAGGATGGTGGGTTCAAACCACCAACCTTTCAGTCGGCAGCTAAGCTCTTTAACCACTTGCCACCAGGGCGCCTTAGAAACCATAAGATGGGTTAAATAAAGATAAACGGAAAAAACCAAACCCACTGCCATTGAGTCAATTCCGACTCATAATGACCCCCACTGAGTTTCTAAGGCGGTAAATCTTTACAGAAGTAGATTGCCCCATCTTCCTTTTCTGGAGTGCCTGGTGGGTTTAAACCTCCAACCTTCTGGTTAGCAGTCAAATGCCTTAAGTACTACGCCATCAGAGCTTCCTAAATAAAGATACAAAAAAA